TTGCGGCGATGATTTCGCAGGGTCGACGCATAAGCCGTGAATTGCTGATGAACTTCGACGATCCCACCATGTGTTGTCCGCAGCAACTGTCGAGGTACCATGTATCCAGATCCTCGTGGCGCTGACGGGCGAGGTTGGCGATCTTGGGCGTGATGATCCGATCGAAGTCGCCGGTGTACGGGGAGAGAGCGAAATATCTGTTTGCGGAAATGCTCGGCGGCGATTCCGGAGTAGGAAGAGGGAGCTCGAAGTCAGGAGGAATGTCCGAGGGACGATTGGACCAGGTAAAAACTGTTGGGTCGTTGTCTGGGCTGGGTGCAACGGGGTTGATGAGATTGTCACGTGCGAATGTTACTCGATCTCAGTAGCGGAAACCTCTGTTGCGGCGAGCCATGCAGCTTATGATTGTCCCTTTTCCTTTGTCTTTCGCCGTGATGAGCGCAAGAGACTAAGAAGTGCTGGCGACGGAAGGAGGTGACACAGTGGAGGTTGCGGCAGAGGACTTTGGCTGAGCCGAGGGTTGCTGGTTGGAGGCGTTGCGCCGTTCATCAGCAGCCTGACGCTTGTAGCACTGGTCGATGGAGTGGCCGGACTTCTTGCAGTATTTGCAGAAAGCTCCCTTCTTTCCGCGTTGCTCTCCTTGTGATGCTCCTGTGTAGAAGACTAATTTCTCCCGTTTGGCATTCTTCTCGTTGTACAGGTCGATCTCCTTCTGCTCCGAAAGAAGCGTGGCGCACAGGGCCGATTCCGATATGGTTGCTCGGGCGCGAAGGAGTGACTGGCACTGCCGCCAGTCGGGACCGAGGCCAGAGATGACCATGGAGATGAACATGTCGTCGTGAACAGTCCCACCGCATTTATTGACTTGATCGCGCAGATTGCGGCACCGGTTGACATACGGTCCCGCTTTCTCCCCTTGCTTCATTTTGACCGAAGTTAGCTGGCTGAGCAGACGACTCATTGTAATCGGATCTGTTGCCATGTATGAGTTGCGCAGGTGTTCCCAGGACGCGTGCGCGGGAGCCCACTCCGTCTTGTAGGGACGAATGCCAAGCTGTTCTTCAGGTGAGAGATTGCGGAGGAGGGCGGTGTACGCGAGGAGAGATTCGTGGTAGTATTGATGCTTCTCCTGGATGGTGCCTTCCGAAGGAAAAGGTAGGCTTCCGTCGTAGTACATCCAGATCTGAGCGGTTGTCGCGAGAAGCTCGAATTCGAAACTTCACGTGTAGAAATCTTTCCCGTCGAAAGGAATTGAAGTCTTCAACTTCGAAGTCAATACAAATTTGGTTTGCATTGAAGCGATGTCTGACTGTGATCGTTGTGAGTTGTCTTATGCAGGAGTCGAGCCTTGACGATTGTCAAAGGTGAAGGATCTCTCGGAGTTGACGCGAGGGTCTTCTCCAGGGAGAGGGAGTCCAGCAACGCCACATACGTAGCTTGAGCCGTCAATGCTCATTGCTTGATGGCTTTCAAGGGCGTTGATGCGTGCGACTAGCTGCTCAACGACAGCGGCGCTGACGGAGGTCACTGCTGATGGCGTGTTAGTCGTTGCTGGTGGCGTGTTAGTCACTGCTGATGGCGTGTTAGTAACTGCTGAGGGCTTGACTGATCCTACAATCCACTCTAGCTCTTATACCATGCTGATATAGCCAAATGATCTAGCAGATAGGATAGGATCTGTTAAGTTTGGGAGGAGACAATGAAGTCTCTGTAGTGACCTTGTTGAGTGGTAAATGAAAAAGAACAAGATGATTAAAAGATAAGAGTCAAGGGATTAAATAGAAATCTAGCTAGCCATGTACTATGAGGGGTACATTCCCTTATTAACTGTATTACATATCTACAGTAACCGCGACTATTGCTATCCTCGACAGTTACCATGTTGCAGTGAGTTAACTGTCGCGCGGTTACTGGATCGTCAAGAGTCACGACCGTTTACTTCTTTAGACGGTTGACCTTCGGGTGACCCTCGACATTCCGCGTGCTCTATATGAGCTATTGCGGTACTGGAACAGCTTCGGGAATGCTTATGTAACCTTTCGGTTATTCCAACAGGGCCCACGTCCTAAATCTAAGTTTTTGTTTCTGTTTCGAGGACCCAACCCCCCCCCTCCCCCCCCCCCAAATTTCAGTGCCCTTCCCCCCCTTACTCTTATGCTTTTGCCTACGATTCCCCCCACCTCCCCTTCCTCCCCTCGGATGACCAGTCAACAATACAAGCATGTGGGTGATCAGATTTTAATGTGCTACTACCAGCTGCTAAGTTTTGTTCCAACTACCTTTGTACACTAGGAAAAGTACACTTTCCTAAGAAGCTCGGATTTCAAGTTCTGAATTCGGTCTGCGCCCTAGGACTCCAAAATCAGGGCCAGATTTTGAGCACGGCCAGATTTTGAGCAGGGCCAGAAAATCAGGGCCAGACTTTAAGCAGCTCAGGACTCCAAGTTTTTGCCCTATGGACTTCGACAGGCCTGACGCACACACGCACGCACACACACACACATACATACACCCCCCCTCCCCCCCCCCCCGACACACACACACACACACACACACACACACACACACACACACACACACACACACACACACACACACACACACACACACACACACACACACACACACACACACACACACACACACACACACACACACACACACACACACACACACACACACACACACACACACACACACACACACACACACACACACACACACACACACACACACACACACACACACACACACACACACACACACACACACACACACACACACACACACACACACACACACATACACACCTACACACACGCATGCGATCATGAGAAAGTAACTGCTCTTATGGGCCTGTTTCATTTGTTGCAAATACACCTAGCCCGCGCCAAATTCACTAGGGGCAATTTCCCCGCCCCCCTTGTCGCTACGTGGGTTAGGGAGGTTGGGTGCTGCACAGGGACGCCCTTTACAAACCCCCCTACAAAAATGTTATGGCCAATTTCACCCCCCCTCCGCTACCGACAAGATTGACCCCCTCGGTGGGGGCGTGAAATTGCCGAGGGCTAGGTGTAGGAGGAGACACGCGAAACTGAGAAAATCACAGCATGTAGTTGGGATAGCAACCAATGGTAAATGTTTCACTGTGTAATATACATCCCAACCCCTATAATTGATGACTAGCCAAAATTCAAGAATAGGTGCACTTCCTCCACTCTACCTCCTCTTCCTCTAAATTGACATAAAATTAAATATTGTGTAGCTTCTCCTGTTTGGCTAGGAGTAATTGTGGAAGATTACTAATTGTAATGAAAGTGAAACACTTCTGATCTTGGAACAAAGGTCATCTTATCGATGCTCTTATTAGTGATGAAGTTTGTTCCCTTTTCCTCCCGGCGCTCCCGCCGCTCCACCCGCTACTCGGTTTCCCCAACCCTCTGGCTCCGCACCCGTCGCTTGCTCCCTAAACCCTCGGGCTTGTTGGCCGTTGCTTCCGCAGTGCCGGGAGCGAGAAATCACACCTGAGTAAGGTCACCTGAGCTCTGACCTGAGCCCTGGTCGACTTCGGCTGACTGAGCCTGCACTCGTGACTGGCTCGTTGCCAACCTGCGTGGCTGTCGCTCTGCCATGAAGGGAGGAATAAACTGCCACGATTGGATGCATCAACCAGACGGGTCGGTGCAATTTCTTGCAAGTTTGCGACGACATTGCGACGAGTACTACACATGTTGCTCAACTGCTGCGCTCGAATTCGCCCTATACGCGCCAGATACTCTGCACGCGTGTATTTAATGCCAGCCAGTTGCACCCCACTTACAAGCGTCTCGAGCAAGTTGCAGCTATTTAAATTAATACGAACCACAGAAAACAAAGCTTGACCGAAGAGACCGAAGTCAAATGGTCAACGGTGAGTTACAAATTTTCTATAGTGCGAATTGACGGAAACTTAGCGAAATGCAAGAATCACTTAAGAGCCCCCTTCACAAGGCAACCTTGGGTTAGTCAAACGAGCATCATCTGTACACTGATCAGCAGTCGTGTGGGCTTGTTCGCATCACATCGCAGTAGAGGTTTTTTGCGTGGTTCCGCTTGGTTCGGCTTGAGAAGACAGCGGCGGCAGCAGATATTTTTACTGTCGCTAATTTTCGGTTTCTGATACACCCTAGAGTTGATGTATACTTCGGAAAACACCCAAATACTCAACGGCTTTGAACGACGCTCACGTGACACACGAATGTAGGTATCACATCAACGCGACGCATCACAGCTTCATGCATAATCCCCATCCTGAACAAGACGGGAAAATCATTTAGGGTGTTTTACGAAAAAACGTTGGAAGGTGTGAAATTATGGTGCCAGGTGTCCCGTAGAATGTCGCCTCGCTAGCCGAATTCGCGCCCAGGAGGTTTTGTGTTGAAACGGCCCGCCAAATGGAGGTGTGGCTGCAAAGGTTCCATCCATCCAGCCTACTAAAACACACGAGCGTTGCCAAGCGTTATGTTCCTCTTGCCATTCTTCAGAAAGGCCTTTTCGTTTGATTCGTCATCAGCCCGAGAGGGTCATCTTATGCACTGATTGCTCTCGGGGGTGATTTGAGCTTGTAGCTCCGTGGCTACCATTGCAATTCCGTCAATATCATCATGATATTGACCATTCAGAATGATTCCGAGACCATTCCAATACCATTCCAAGGTCAAGTCGGCGAAATGACTCAGTTTTTGTCTGGATCGCGACCCGCGGAATTCCGTCCACGGCATGATCATCGTGGCCATCTTTCAAGGCGTCTCAGATTTTGGAGCAGTCCCAAACTGGCTGCTGCAGTCTTTCTCCTCGTCTTCTTACACCCCGGAATTCCGACTTCCTACGTGCCACGTGGCGGCGTTCCGCGGCACGAGCACGCCGCCTCTTCGGTCCGGGCCGCGGCACATGACTCATCATCGCTATCATCGCGATCTTATGGAATCGTGCTTGCAGACGCGGCGGTTCCGATCGAGGAAATGTCACAGGAGGCTCCTAGTTCTTCCGAGGAGGCCCGAGTTGCGGCGCGATTCGCGGGGAGGCGATTGGTTGAGGGGTCCGCCGCAGGAGGGAGTTGGCTCTCGTTCTTGGCGACCAGCACGGCGGCTGCACGGGGCCGGTATGAGGAGGATCAGAACGATGAAGACACGGAACAGCTTGCTTCGAACGGGCGCGTCGAAACGGCGAGAGCGGCGAGAACGACGAGAGCGGCGTGTCCTCAAGACATCGACCTCGACGCGGCGTTTGCGGTGTGCACTGCGCTGGATAGCCACAGGGACGTGAAGAGTTACAAGGATTCCAAGGGACACTGTAACGAGAACGGAGCGTATTCGCGGCATAATCAAAACTACGACGTAACCGGCACCGGCAAGTGGTATATCGAGGAACAGTACTACGGGTTTTTGTTCATCCAAGCGGGTTTGGCGTTCAACAATTCGGACGCAATTCACCTCGGGATGAAGATCTTCGATTGGGGATTCGAACAGATGGATGTTAACGGATCTTTCAGCTGCCCGGATGTGTACCATAGCGCGGGTTTTTTCTTGGAGTCAGCTGCCCGAGCCGCCTTGCTTCTGCGGCACTCGCGACTCGGTAACCAGCCGAAGTACAGACGGTGGATTCGCAACGCTGCTTCGGATATCGCAGCGATGGCGGCGTGGTTCGTGCGACCTGATATCGAGCGCATCGGGTGGAGAAACGACGCGGTTCACACGCACAGGCGGTACTTAACAGGCACAGCTCTCGGCATGGCTGGGCTACTAACGGGGAACCAATCCCTCATCGAGCAATCGACAAAATACATCCGAAGCGGCCTCGCGATGCAGGATCCGACGGGCTTTAACTTCGAAAGGCGAGGCTACGACTGCAGCTATCAAGGCATAGGGTTGGTCTACACGGCTCGGTACTATCTCTACGTCGCGCCGCATATTCAAGACGTGTCCGAGTCAGAGGAGATTAGGTCGCGTCTGCTGGAGGTCGGGCGGCGCGGCGTGGATTGGCTGGTGACGCGGGTGGATGAGCGCGGGGTGCTGAACGCGACGGGCAACACGCGCACGGGGAGCGCGCAGGAGCTTGGGCGGAACGGCAAGCCCAAGGCGTTGGCGCGCAAGGACGTGTTCCACGCGCTGCTGTACTGGAGCTGGGTGCTCGGCGATCCCGAGGTGGAGCTCGTCGCGTGGCGCGTTGAGTGGGAGAGAACCAGGCGGTTGCGCGACAGCAGGTGCGATTGCCGCAGTGGGTTCGATTGGAAGCAGGAAAACGTGGAAATTCTATACAAGGTACAGTAATTGCTGGTATGGGTTGTGAATTTGCCTGACTATATTTGCATACACTATTTGCCTCCATAGTAACAATATATTTACATGCATATTATGCTATTGTACCTATTATCTGGAAAGATCATTGTATAGATACTCCTATTGCTAATATTTGTGATAGTAGAAAGGGCTGAGGGACTAATTGGAGGAACAAAACTGCATCTTTGTTGGCCAAAGAGTGCGCACAGAAAACAATAAACTCAGGCAAGCCATATCCCCTGGATAGCACCAGCAGCCAGCTCCTCACTCAATGCCGCTGAATCAGACATGTTTTTTTGGACCCGGGGGACCCATCTGATGCATCAGACGCCCCTCAGGTCCTAGGGACGACCCTGCCGCTGATACAGCCCATCGTTCACGTGCCTTGCTGTGTCCCCATCTCTGGGGTGCATTGTGGGAATCGCAGCAGCAAGAGCAAGCCTCTCACTCAACACCGCTGCCACCGCCAGGTCATCAAAGCTCTTGAGTCCATGCAACACCTTTTATTGCCTGAATAGCACCAGCCAGAGCCAGCTTCTCACTCAGTACCGCTGCCACCGCCCATCGCTGATGCACCTTGCTGTGGGGTACATTGAACAACAAGCAGGGTAACTTCCTTCCCTATTGTCGAAGCTCCTGAGCCGATGTAGAACCATCCATTGCCTGAATAGCACCAGCCAGAGCCAGCTTCTCACTTAATACTGCTGTCACTGCCCATCGCTCAGGCACCTTACTCTCAGGTGCTTTGAACAGCAGGGCAACGTCTTCATCTATTGTTGTTGTCGAAGCTCTTCAGCTGATGTAAGACCGCCCATTGCCTGAATAGCACCCAATAGAGCCAGCTTCTCACTCAACACCGCTGCTACAGCCCATCGCTCAGGCGCCTTGCTCTCAGGTGCATTGCTGTGCGGTGCATTGCTGTGCGGTGCATGGAACAGCAGAGCAGCATCCTCCTCTATTGTTGTTCGGTACCCTTGCAGCTGCGAGCGAGCAGCAGAGATGAGGCGGTGGTATACCTGTGGGGAGGGAGTAAGGACGAGATGGGGAAGATGTGAAAGTTACAGCAGGGAAGTATCCTCCTCTATTGTTGTTCGGTACCCTTGCAGCTGTGATTGGGTAGCAGAGCGGAGGCGGTGGTATACCTGGGGAATGGGGGCGGGATGGGTGGGTGGTGGGAGGGGAGGTAAGAGAAAGAAAGAGAATATGGCATCGTTCTCATCTATTGACTTTTGGTACCCTTGCAGCTGTGATTGAGCAGCAGAGATAAGGCGGTGATATACGGGGGGATTGCGGGAGAGAGGAAGGGGAGAGAAAGGAAGAATGAGTGCCAGAGCAGGCAGCATCCACTATTGCCGTCCCTTTTCCAGCCACCCCTCACCAATGCTCACCTCTCTCTCTCTCTCCGTCTCTTCCCCAGTCACCTCGAAGCCTATCAACCCAAACCACAACTCACCTCTCTCTCCGTTCCCTTCCCATCGCTGCCGCTGCTCTCTGCTCCAACCGTCAGCTCGCCTCCCCATTCAGGAATCAAGGAGACTTTTAGGATCTCAACCTGAAGCCTATCAACCCAAACCACAACTCACCTCTCTCTCTGTTTCTTCCCCGGTCACCCCTCCCCCGGCGATCCTCCCCATCGCTGCTGCTGCCCTCTGCTCCAACCGCCACCTGCGACCCTTTTCCCCCATGCAAACCCATCTCTACTCACCTCTTTCTCCGTTCCCTCCCCAGTCACGCCTCCCCCGGCGATCCTTCCCATTACTGCTGCTCTCTGCTCCAACTGCCAGCTGCGCTGCTCACTCAGAAGTCAAGGCGACCTTTCCATACTGACCTTCAAGCTTAGAGCCCATCACCTCACTACTCACCTCTCTCTCAGTCCCCTCCCCAATCAACCCTCCCCAGTACTCACCTCTCTCTCCGTTTCTTCCCCAGCCACGCCTCCCTCAGCAATCCTCCCGATCAACGCTGCTTCTCTCTGCTCTCCAGCATGCCAGCTGTCCTCCCCACTCAGCCATCAAGGGGACCTTTGAAACCTCAACCCAAAGCCCATCAACCCAATACTCACCTCTCTCTCCGTTCCCTCCCCAGTCACCCCTCCCCCGGCGATCCTCCCCATCACTGGAACTGCTCTCTGCTCCAATTACCACCAAACACCAATTGAGGTGACCTCTTGCGATTCAACTTAAAGCCCATCAACCCAAAACTCACCTCTCTCTCCGTTTCTTACCCAGTCACGCCTCCCCCGGCGATCCTTCCCATCGCTGCCGCTGCTCTCTGCTCCAACTGCCAGCTGCGCTGCTCACTCAGAAGTCAAGGCGACCTTTCCATACCGAGCTTCAAGCTTAGAACCCATCACCTCAGTACTCACCTCTCTCTCCGTTTCTTCCCCAGTCACGCCTCCCCCGGCAATCCTCCCCATTGCTGCCGCTGCTCTCTGCTCCAACCGCCAGCTGTGACCTTTTTCCCCCATGCAAACCCATCTCCTCTACTCACCTCTCTCTCTGTTTCTTCTCCAGTCACCCCTCCCCCGGCGATCCTTCCCATTGCTGCCGCTGCTCTCTGCTCCAACCGCCAGCTGCGGCCGCTGCTCAGCCAATCAGAGGCGTCCACGTGGCGCCAGCCAGCCGCTGCCAGCTCAGCAGGAGAGGCCAGGGCGGCCCTTAGCCACGTCACTATGCTGTCATCAGGGCCGGCTGGGGTTAGAGAGAAGCGGGAAGAGTCTGTAGCGGGGAAGATGGGATAGGGTGAAGGGGGGAGGTTAAGGTCTAGTGGTTAGAGAGAAGTGGGACGAGTCTGTTGGGGTGGGGGGGTGGGGAAGTAAGAAGGTCACTGAGAAGCCAGGGCGGCCTGTAGCCACGTCACTATGCTGTCATCGGGGCCGGCGGGAGTGAGTGAGAAGCGAGACGAGTCTGTTGGGAGAAGTGGTCGATAAGGGAAGGAGGGAAGACGGTTACAGGAGAAGCCAGCGCACCCCGTAGCCACGTCACTATGCTGTCGTCAGGGCCGGCGGGAGTGAGTGAGAAGCGGGAAGAGTATGCAGAGGGGGAAGGGTGAGAGGGTGAAAGAGGGGGAGGGGCGGCCCTTAGCCACGTCACTATGCTGTCGTCAGGGCCGGCGGGAGTGAGCGAGAAGCGAGACGAGTCTGTTGAGAGAAGTGGTCGATAAGGGAAGGCGGGAAGACGGTCATTGAGAAGCCAGGGCGGCCCTTAGCCACGTCACTATGCTGTTGTCAGGGACGGCGGGAGTGAGAGAGAAACGGGAAGAATCTGGGGTGGGGAGGAGGAGAAAAGGGGGAGGGGAGAAGAGGGAGGAGAGCGAGGGCGTGAAGGGGAAGGGGAAGCCCTTAGCCAAGCCAGTATGGGAGAGAAGCCCATCAGGGCAGTATGCTTCCATCAGGGCCCGATGGGGTGAGAGAGAAGCGGGACGAGTCTGTAAGGAAGGGAAGAGGAAAAGGGGAAGAAGGAAAGAGAGGGGGGGGGGGGCGAGAGGGTGAAACAAGGCAAAGGAAAGCCCTTAGCCAAGCCAGTATGCTGTCATCGGGGCCTGATGGGGTGAGAGAGAAGCGGGACGAGTCTGTAGAGGGGGAAAGGAGAAAAGGGGCACAGCACAGCAAGAAAATGGAAGGTATGCTGACGTCGGGGAGAAAGTGAAAGAGTATGGAATAGCAGCACAGCAACATGGGTCACTCACCAATGGGGAGACCTGCCGCTTCCAACAGTGAGGTGTTGGGAGTGGTGTTGAAATGTCCCAAGGAGCTCGCCTGATGGGGGCGTGAGGAGAGAGAGAAACATGAGAGGGTTAGGCATGAGCTGGCATAAAGTGAAATGGATTGTCCAAGGAGAGGGGAAATTATATGAGGGGGAAATTGCATACGCTGTTCCATAGCCAGCCCTTATTCCCAGCGTGTTTTATATTGCCCGCCCCTAAACATGGGGTGTCATGAAATGGCCAGCCTATAAGCACAAGGTGTTTTATATTGCCAGCCCTGAACCCGTAGCCCGGTCCAAAACCACGTGTTCATTTCACTCAACCATGATCTATCAGGTAAGCATTAGAGAGGCAGTTGCTCGCGGGCAAAAAAAAAAAAAAAAAAAAAAAAAAAAGAAAGAAAAAAAAGAAAAGAAAAGAGGGGGTATACCGGGCCACACATGCATGCATTTCAGTTTTCAACCACAGAGACACTTACAGGCATTTCAATCACGTGGTCAATGTGTGCTGTAAGCCCTATCCACCTGCCCTGCTCCACTTCCTCCATCTCATCCCCCTCCCACTCCTCCTCCTCCTCCTCCCCATCCCATTCCTCCCCTTCGTCTCCTTCTTCCTCCTCTCCGTCCTTCTCCTCTCCCATAAAAGGTGGTTCGTTAAGAGGTGACTCGCTATTAGCCACAAGCCCTTCAAACACCACTTCATCCACAAAACCATGATCCAAATACAGCTGCCTCGGGCTCAGCCACGGGCCGTACGAGTCAAACACCTCCCAGCCTGGCGCGTAGGCTCGGTGCGCGCCGAGCCTGGCGGTCCGGGAGTCAGGGTCGTAGGTTAGGCAGGAGAGGGCAGTGGCTGTGCTGCTGTGGTTGAGGCAATCGGCCCATGGGACGAGGCAGAGAGTGAGGCCTGGTGTTGATATGTTATCACCCGGGAATGGCTGGGGTACAAGAGGAAGAAGTGAACGAAGAAAAACAAAGGAAGGGCAGAAGAGAGATGGGAGAAGAGGAGAAGAGAGATCGAAGAAGGAAGAGAGCTGTGCTGCTGTGGTTGAGGCAATCGGCCCATGCGACGAGGCAAAGTGTTAGGCCTGGTGTGCTGATGTCATCACCTGGGAATGGCTGATGGGGAGAGGGGGAGTTGAGGGGAATGAAACAAGAGAGAGGAAGAGAGGGAGGGAATAGAGATGGGAGATTGCAGTGGCTGTGCTGATGTCATCACCTGGGAACGGCTGGGGGGGAGAAGGAAGAAGAGGAAAGAGTGAGGGAGAGAAGAGAGAAGGGATTGCC